TTTTTTCCCTCCTGAAGAGTATATAACCATTAACAATTTCAATATATATATATTTTTTCTGTTGGCATATGTCTTTCACCTTTATGTTCAAAGGAATATCAAGAAAACTACTTGACTCTGGTATGTGTCTCTCTTTTTAGGAACTGTGTCAAGGTATACTATTATAAAGACCCTAGCCTGAAATTTAACTAACTGTTCAAAGCATGGAGAACTATGGATATGGGATATGATATTAGATATTCTCAGGAAATGAGGATTTGTTATACATAGTATCAGAAGAGGAGGAAGTTGAAAAAATTTACAGATAGTATCATGAGTGATGGCCAGCCAGATTTCACAGACAGTTAAGGGGATTTATGTGGGAAATGGCCAGGTTTCACAAGCAATGAAGGTAAAGAATAGCAGATGTTCCAAGCAGAATAATATTGAAAGACCAACTGTACCTATGAAGCTTTCTCAGTAGTACTGCATAAATCTAAGCTTACTTGTATAACTAGCAGAAATAACAAATTTGAATAAAGGTGTGGTAAAATCAGAGCATTGATAACCAGGGCAGACACGAAGGCCAAGAAATGGCAGACCAGAGAAGTGTAAGCGCTTTCATATTCACTATAAGACTTGTCAGATCTGAGCACTGTAGATTATAATAAAATCTTTACTTTTTTGTGTTACATTACTTTTCAAAGAGATGATTGCCATTTACATTAAAAATACTTCTATTACTTAAGCAATTTAGAGTACATGTTAAAACATGCTACACCTCTCACAGTGAGGATGATAAAATGAACCTTACTGTGAGAAAGTATTAGCCTTTTAACAGTTTTGAAAATCTGATAGTTTGTTAGATAGTAAGTCCCATTAAATTTGTATGAAACTGCTTTAAACGAAACTTTGTAATTCACCCTCCTATACTCTGAATCTGAATTTATTTCTGATTTTCAGGAAAATACTGTTTCCAGAGAAATAACTGAATTTACAGATTTAAAAGCAGTTTAGTTTTCCAGTAGTTAGTTTTCCTTCCTAAAGGCAAAAACAAACAAACAAACAAAACCATACAACCCTCAAATGCTGCTATATTTGCAAATAAAGAAATAGATGATGGTGTTCTAATTTAATAATTCTATGAATACAAAGTTATTAATTTATTTAGAATAGTTATTGCACATTACAAGTAGTAGCTATAGCTTGGAATTATCTATAACAAGTACTAGAAGGAATATTTATATTCTATTTAGAATATTCTTAGTGGGTTATTTGAAAACAGTATAAATCTATACTGCTTTACTGTAAAAATGTTTCTTTATACAAAATGTTCATGAAGAGCAAAAGTAATGTCTAAATGTTTCAAGGAACTGATATAGAACATTAGAATAGAAATAAAAACTTCACAAATCCTGTGAAATCTTTCATAATCTTGTGAGATTGAAAACATCTGAGTGCATTTTACTTTTCCATAACACATATTCACATAAATATATTATGTAGGATTAATCTCTTATAACTTTAACTTCTACAATGTCAAGGTCTACATTTGGGCATATCACCCGAGGCTTTTTTTTCCTTGCCTAAGAAAAGAAAAGGACAGTGTATTTCATTCTAAACTAAATATTTAATAAAGAGTGACTCTGTCACCAAGTATCAAGCTACATCAGAATGCACTGCTTGGGTGTTAACCACTGAGAGGCTTGACCAGCTGGTTGTGCTCCCCTGGGAAAGTCTGTCTTGCTGCTTGTACCTTAAACACAGGCACTGCAGTCTCACATTGTACAGAGGTTGAGAACAAAATTTTGCATTACAACAACTTAACTACAACTTACAACAACAAAACAACTATGGCACAGGCAAAACTTCAGGTTCAAAAGCACTTTCCACTGTGATCATGTCTAGTATGAAAGGTTTTCAAGTTCATACAGTTCTGAAGGAAACCTTTCATATTTAAGAAATGTATGTGTTTTGTTCAAGCTGCTTTTTCATAAATTGTCTACCCAAGACTACTCTCAACTTGTACAGAATACTTTTGAGAAATCAGCAGTCTTTCTTCATTAAAAAGAAGTGGAAGTGACTCAAGATTTTAGGTGCAATCAAAATCTCTGAAGGAATATCTGGCATTAGATAGCCAGAGGTTCTCAACCCCTGAACAGGCTAGCTGATGTATCTTACACATAACAAGTCTTTAAGTTCCTGCTCCTCCTGCAGCTATGTGGCAGATACAGATGTTGCCCAAAAGTCAGAGTTCTGAAAACTAAAACTTACAGTCCATGAAAAAATAAGCATGATGATATTCATAGTCTCTGTCAAGGAAATGATAGAATAAAAGCCCTCAAAGTTTCAGCTGAAAATGCCTTTCAGCTATTACTGCTGTAAAATTTAATACAGCCCTAAAAGAGTGCATGGATGCCTCTTGCAAAAACTGAAAGTTTCCAGAAAAATTTCTGGCTGCTATGTCAGTATCTGTTACAGAGCAATAATCCTTTGCAATGCACTGCTGAAGCTGATAGGCAGTTAGTGTTGTCATTAGTTTTCAAAAATTGTTAGAGCTAGAGCCAGCTTTAGTAAAACAACAGTGCGGTAAAATATTAAAGTTTGTTAAATTCTATTTTATTGTTAACTTAAGTCTTCCAGGTAAAAGAGAATTCTATTGTTTTAAGTTCACAGAAGTTTAAGACTTAAATGGACTTATAATTTAAAAGATACTATTAAAAAAAAAATAAAAAATACCCAAATACTAAGGAAAGAAAGAGATTCTCAAGTTTTTCTTGATAGGAAAAGTCAACATTTGCCTTACTCTACTAGGATAACAAAAGTAGAATTCTGAATAACCTGTCTTTCCAATAATAATGGAATCATAGAATCATAGAATAATTGAATGGTTTGAGCTGGGAAGAGTCTTATAGATAATCTACTTCCAAATCCCCTTCATGGGCAGAGACACTTTATACAGGGCCTTGAATGTTTCCAAGGGCAGGGTAGCCATAACTTCTCTGAGTAACCTGTTCCAGTGTCTCACCATTCTCATGGCTATTAATTTCTTCCTAATATCTAAACTAAATCTGTCCTTTACTTTAAAGCCATTGCATTTTGTTCTTTAAGTATACTCCGAGATAGAGTACCTCTCCTGCTTTCTTTTAGGACCCCCTGGTCCTATAGAGTTTCACTGTAGCCTTCTCCAGGCTGAACAATCCCAATGCTCTCAACCTGTCTTCAGAACAAAGGTACCTCATCCCTCTGATTATCCTCAAGACCCTCCTCTGGACTTGCTCCAAAATGTCCATGTGCTTCATATGTTGGTGGCCCCAGAGCTGAACACAGTACTCTAGGTGGGGCTTCACAAGAACCTGTATTATTTATTATAATTGTCCTTACCCATGTGCAGGACCTTGCACTTGATCTTGCTGAACTTCATAAGGTTGCACAGAGCCATCTCTCAAGTCTCTCAAGATCCTTCTGGATGACATCAGTTCCCTCCAGCACATCAACCATGACACTGACCTTAGTGTTGTCTGCAGACTTGCTGAGGGTACACTCAATCTCAGTGTCCATGACACTGACAGAAAGGTTAAATAATACTAGTTCCAATAATGACTACTGAGGAAACCACAACCACAGGTTCCCACCTGGACACTTACACATTTATTTCAACTCCATCAGTATGGATCATTCAGACAATTCCTGATCCAGAAATTGGTCCATCTGTTAAACCATGTTTCTCCAATCTAGAGACAAGAATTTCAGATAGAATGAGGTAAAATGCTTTGTACAAGTCCAGGCAGGTGATGTTAGATATTTTTCCCTTACCTGCCAAAGCTAAAACCCCATAGCCACCAGAAGGCCACCAGATCTGTCAGGCATGATTTGACCTTAATGAAGATAGATTGGTTGTTATCAATTGCTTCTCTGGATGGATCTGGTCTATGGCCTTCCCATACAGGAGAATAGTTGTTTTTCTTGTAACTTCCTCTCATATTTTTAAAAATTGGGTTTATGGTTTTCCTCTTTTCCAGTCAGAAGGAATTCCTATGATTTCTAATGAATGATGGATAATGATCTGTGAGGTTCTTACAGAATCTCATAGTCTAAGTAGCCAAATGCTTAGCAGTGGCACCAGCCCTGATACTACTCTGAGTTGATGACTTGATTTTGTTGACTTATTGACTTGATTCAACAGGTTCCTTCAAAACTATTGCATTTGACTGGGAGGACTGATGAAAAAAAAAATCCACAGAATATAAATGTTTAATTATATTATTCAATTATAGTCCAGAGCTTTTGAGGTGGAGAGCTGTTAACAGTTAAAATTAAAGTACACAACTTATTTCAGCAATTTCTTTTAGTACGTAATCTTATATTTGTATATGTATCACATAAAGAGAAATGTTATAGTTCATCTTTATCTGCCAAACTTTATTTTTTCCAGTGAATTCAACTTCTGATTTGTAATAACTTCATCATTCATATACATTTATAATTTTAAAATTCAATTTAATTATTACTGATAATGATGTAAATTAACCATCTACCTAATAGTATTAGGGAATCACACAGAATCACAGAATTGTAGGGGTTGGAAGGGACCTCCAGAGATCATCGAGTCCAACCCCCCTGCCAAAGCAGGTTCCCTACAGTAGGTCGCACAGGTAGGCATCCAGGCAGGTCTTGAACATCTCCAGAGAAGGAGACTCCACCACCTCCCTGGGCAGCCTGTTCCAGTGCTCCGTCACCTCACTGTAAAGAAGTTCTTGCGCATGTTTGTGCGGAACTTCCTATGCTGCAGTTTCCAGCCGTTTCCCCTTGTCCTGTCTCCACTCACCACTGAAAACAGTCTGGCCTCGCCATTCTGCCCCCCACACCTTAGATATTTATAGACCTGGATCAGGTCCCCTCTCAGTCTCCTTTTCTCAAGGCTGAACAGACCCAGTTCACTCAGCCTTTCCTCATAGGAGAGATGCTCCAGGCCCTTCACCATCTTTGTGGCCCTCCACTGGACTCTTTCCAAGAGGTACCTGTCTTTTTTGTACTGGGGAGCCCAGAACTGGACGCAGTACTCCAGATGAGGCCTTACCAGGGCAGAGTAGAGGGGGAGGATCACCTCCTTCGACCTGCTGGTAACGCTCTTTTTAATGCACCCCAGTAAGCCATTGGCCTTTTTGGCCATAAGGGCACACTGCTGGCTCATGGCCAACCTGTCATCCACCAGGACACCCAGGTCCCTTTCCACAGAGCTCCCCTCCAGGAGGTCATCCTCCAACCTGTATTGGTGCATGCAATTATTCCTCCCCAGATGCAAGAATCTACACTTGCTTTTGTTAAACCTCATCCGGTTTTTTTCTGCCCAGCTCTCCAGCCTGTCCAGGTCTTGCTGAATGGCAGCACAGCCTTCAGGCATGTCAGCCAATCCTCCCAACTTCGTATCATCAGCAAACTTGCTGAGGGTGGCCATTATCCCCTCATCAAGATCATTGATGAAGATGTTGAACAAGACCGGACCCAGCACCGAACCCTGAGGAACACCGCTGCTTACAGGCCTCCAACCGGACTCTGCACCACCAACAACGACCCTCTGTGCTCTGTCAGTCAGCCAGTTCTCAACCCACCTCACTGTCCACTCATCTATCCCACACTTCCTCAGCTTTGTTATAAGGATGTCGTGGGGGACAGTATCAAATGCCTTGCTGAAATCAAGGTAGACTACATCCACTGCTCTCCCCCTATCCACCCAGCCAGAGACAACATCATAGAAGGCTACCAGGTTGGTCAAGCACGACCTTCCCCTTGTGAACCCGTGCTGACTACTCCTGATAACCTCCTCTTCTTCCAGTTGTCTGGAGATGACATCCAATACAAGCTGTTCCATCACCTTTCCAGGGACAGAGGTGTGGCTGACTGGCCTATAATTGCCTGGGTCTTCCTTCTTGCCTTTTTTGAAGACCGGGGTGACGTTGGCTATCTTCCAGTCTTCAGGCACCTCCCCCGCCCTCCAAGACTTCTCAAAGATGACAGAAAGCGGTTCAGCAATCACCTCTGCCAGCTCCCTCAGCACCCGTGGATGCATCCCATCGGGTCCCATGGATTTGTGAACATTGGTGTTGCCTAGGTGCTCTCGGACCACCTCTTCCCTGACAGAAGGGAGGTCTTCCATTCCCCAGATCCTCTCACTAACCTCCAGGGTCTCAGATTCCCGAGGGGGAGCTTTTTCACTGAAAACAGAAGCAAAGAAGGCATTCAGTATCTCCGCCTTCTCAGCATCCCCCATTACCAGAACACCTCCATCACTTAGCAGGGGAGCCACATTCTCCCTAATCTTCCTTTTACTGTTAATGTACTTGAAAAAACCTTTTTTATTATCCTTTATCCCCTTTGCCAGATTTAATTCCAGGCAGGCTTTAGCCTTCCTTTTCGCATCCCTGCAGACCTTGACAACATTCCTGTATTCTTCCCAAGTGGTCAGACCCTTTTTCCACATTTCATGGGCCTTCTTCTTTCCTTTGAGTTTGTGCACGAGCTCCTTGCTCATCCACACAGGTCTCCTGCCACCTTTTCCCGATTTCTTCCTCACAGGGATGCACCGATCCTGAGCTTGGAAGAAGAGCTGCTTAAATGCCGACCAGATCTCACAGGCCCCCTTGCCTTCAAACAACCTAGCCCATGAGAAGTTAATTTATAACAAACAAAATATTTAATACTGCTTTTAATACTGAATATTTTGGAACCTCTGAATTGCTACAATGATTACTTGGTCCTGATAACTGTCAAATACTCTAGTGATGATGGTTTGCAGAATCTTTGTATGATACATATCTTGCCAGATAGAAAATGATTTTATTGTATGTTCTCTAATCAGTAAGTGCTTTGAAAATGTACAACAGGACTAATTTGATCTGTTAGCAAGTTGAATTCCAGGCTTGCTGTTTTATTTTCATGCACAAGAGAAGCAGAATGCTACCATGTTCTATTGTGCCATATAACTTGTGTGAATTAAACATAAACTATACAGAATACTAAAATGCCTATTGATTGCAACAGTGAGCTTGAAAGAACATCAACATCCAGTGCTAATTATTCAACTATTCTTGCATAAATTTTTACAAAAGCAATCCCTGCCAACAGACTACTTTCTGTTTTTTTTTTTTTATTGCTGCTGTTGTAAAAAGCACACAAGGAAGAAGTAAGATGATGTTACTGAAGGCTTTCCTGGAAATCTTTGCTTTTGAAAAGTAGAGGCATGAAAGTTGGCTGCAGAGTTGACTTTGACACTCTCACATTAGTGTTCATAAATCTACTATGACATATTACATTCCATATTATACTTCCCCAGATTTTGTCCTGAAATTACTGCTATACTCCATATTTTCAGTAACTACTGCCCCTGTTCAGCTGTGAAAATTAGGTTGACTTTTGACAGATATTAGATAGATCCAGTAGTATTGAAAAGTTATTATGGGGAAAAAAAAAAAAAATAATAAAAAATTGACGTGTTTTGATCATTTCAGAGTTCAGAAATAAATCTATTTGGATGCTTTCAAAAATTGTAGCTTCAAAATTAAGCATCCCCTTTACAGCAATGCTGACAGTTTAGTCACTGTACTCTGCCAGTACTACAATGTTCATTCTAATTTCAGGACCCTGATAAATAAATGACAGTTGCGTCAGGAGATCAGCAAATGGCTCTTCCAACAACTTCTTCTCTGCTTCAACTAATTGACCAACTTTACACTGAAAAGTCTCATATATAGTACTGGCTGGAAAGACAAACTGTTGATGACAGTTTGGTGGCAGAACAGAAGTGTAAGGGGCATTAACTTCCTTTTACTCTTGCCATATCAAGATCATAGTACAGACTCTTCTTTTTAGAAGCTGTGAAAGAATGTTATTCTAGCACTGACCTTGTATCTACAGGTCTGTTTATTTAAAGGAGGACTATTTTTCTAAAAATAAGCATAGAACCAATAATTCATATGTCTCTCTCTTTAAATGCCCTTTTTAAAGTCTTTTTATATTTCTATGTGTTTTATATTTAAGTGTATTTTACTAGAGACTGAAACCTCAAACCCATGCTGTTACATAGTTGTGGGTTTTTTTGTTGTTGATAGTAAAAGTTATTTTTCTTTTTAATATTGGGAATGTAAAGCCATTTTTAGCATAGAAAACATTTAGTTTTGACTAAGCTACTCTGTAAATATTTTTTCTCAGTCATATACAATTATTAGAATTGGTTTTGAAGATTTATTTTCATATATAAAGAGACTGACTATATAATAACTTCATAATATTGCCATCTCTTCATTCAGACCAAGGAACTGATCAAAGTGCACAAAACTATTTCAGCTTATGCTCACTGCTTTTTAATTTCAGAATTCATAATATGGAATGAAGGAGGGTGATGTTGTATGTCCCACACTGGTGAAATGAGACAGTCAGTGCTAAAAGCTCAGAATTGCCTCATAAGCACCAATAAAGGCCTTCCCATAGATACATTTTGATCTCAGATTAGAGACCTTGAAATGTAAAGACTGCTTAAAGAATAACAGCCATGCATAATGCTCCCTATGTTGATATGTTGCAATATCTTCTACCTCTTAAAATTTAGTTCAGATGGAATAGGATTTTGTCAGTGATTTGGTGTAAATCTGAAGCTGCCAATCCAGAGGAATGGTCAACAAATGATTGCTAATATGATTCAGAGACTGTATCTATCACCTGCAAACTAAACTGAGACTTGACCTTCAGTACTGCTGAATATAATTATATGCTTTATTTGGTCTCTAGCTCAAAAAGAGAGGGCTGGAAAGTAGAGAGAATCTGCTTCATTTTCGAAAGACTCCAAATAGAATTACCTCTGGAAGCAATGGCTTCCAGAGTTTTTAAGATTATAGATGAAGTGAAGCAATCTGGGCTTCTGCAGAAACATCTCCCTTTGAACGTGACATTTATATGCACAAGCACTATTTTCTTTTCAGTAGCAGATAGGTGTCTAATATAACATTTTAATAATTTCTAACAATGTAAATTCTGCAATTGATTGAAAGCAGAACCCTTTACATTAGCAATGTTGTGACATGCAAGTAAAATCAAGAGAAAATGTGGGATTTACAAATACAGAAGCAATTATGATATTATTTGAACAAAATCACAATACTAAGAAAACTATTCAAAATAAATCTACTATGAAAAAACTTGAAGTGGAAACCTGTCATCAGTTCAGCCATCCTCTTATTTGGCTTTTTTTTTTTTTTTTTTTTTTTTTTTTTTAATGTAATTCAGTTCATAACATAAAAAACACACAATTTTTGTTTACCTATTGTTCATTTGAAGAACTATCAAAAATTCTATAGGTCTCAAAGGCTGAAATCTCACATAAACTGCACATAGGGAAAAATGAACTTGTGGTCTTACATCTTTTGTCTTCAAAATGAAATTCTTTTACATTATTCATCAACTTGACAGACAGATTGTCTACTGTTTTTCTACTTTTTTTTTTTCCCCTTCCCTACGCACACAAACATATCAAATGGAAAAACATTGATGTTGCAGTTAAATGATTACTAATGTGCTGCTGAATCAGAAGTTAAGCATTCCAACAGAATTGAAGCTTCTTATACATTTGCACCTTTTCATGTCACTAATAGTAGACATATGAATTAGACATTGTTGCAGGGTTGCGCAAGAGAGAGCAAAAAAATAGTTTTGATAGTAAGGAGGATTTTTTATTATAGAGACATGTCAGCAGCAATATCAGTTCATGCTCCCTTCATGTCACAATGAAGATATTCTGCAGGTCATACAGTTGGATGAACACATAACTCTTAACAAAAGGGAGAGTTGAAGTTTATGGATGAATCAATCTTCTCTGTCTGCAAATCCTTTCAAGTCACTGTTAATTCCTGCCTGCTCCTAATCAGGTATCTCCAGCCTAATGTTGTTTTGAAACTTAAGGATTCACAGGATCATAGATTCAATCACAGAATTAGAAAATCAAAGAATAATCAAGGTTGGAGGAGATCTACAAAGGTCATATGGTCTAACACTTTTTCTCAAGTAGGAAGTATTAGAACAGGTTGCCCAGGAAGAATTTGAAGATCTACCAAGAAA